AGTATCCTACTCATGATATGGAGTTAGCAGCAGTAGTGTTTGCTTTAAAGATATGGAGACATTATTTGTATGGAACGAAGTGCCAAATCTTCACAGATCATAAGAGCTTGCAACATCTGTTTCATCAGAAGGATTTGAATATGCGTCAGAGAAGATGGTTAGAATTAGTGAGTGATTATGATTGTGAAATTTTGTGTCATCCAAGAAAGGCAAACGTGGTGGCTGATGTGTTAAGTCGACAAGAGAAAAGTGGAACTATCAAAACTACAGCTTTACGAGTTGAGTTATTACCCAGTATTCAAGGAGAGTTACRAAAATTTCAACATGAGGCAATGAAGGAGGATAAGATTAAACAAGAAAGATTGGGTGGATTAGTATCTGATTTGGTGAGAAATGACAAAGAATCTTGGAAGTTCCAGAACAGAATTTGGGTACCATGTTATGGTAATCTCCGAAAGCGTATTTTGGATGAGGCTCATAAGTCACGTTTTGCAATACATCTAGGTACAAATAAAATGTATCAGGATTTGAAGCAACATTATTGGTGGCCAGGTATGAAGAAAGATATTGCTAAACATGTTGAACAATGCCTGACATGTCTCCAAGTAAAGATTGAACATCAGAGTCCTTATGGTAAGTTACAATCTTTAGAAATTCTGATTTGTAAGTGGGATCATATTACTATGGATTTCATAACCAAATTGCCAAGAACATCGAAAGGGTATGATGCAATATGGGTGATAGTGGATCGGTTGTCTAAATCTGCACACTTCTTACCGATGAAAGAGTCATATTCGATGGAAAGATTGGCGAAGTTATACATTGATGAAATAGTGACACGGCATGGTGTTCCTTTATCGATTTTGATAGAGATAGTCGTTTCATTTTTATGTTTTGGAAGAGCTTTCAGAGAGAAATGGGTTCACAAATTAAGCTAAGTACAACTTATCATCCTCAGACCGATGGACAGAGTGAGCGAACTATCCAAACTTTAGAAGATATGTTGAGATCCTGTATTATTGATTTTGGAGGGTCGTGGGATAGTCATTTGACTTTGKTTGAATTTGCATACAACAATAGCTACCACTCAAGTATTCAGGCAGCACCTTTTGAGGTTCTGTATGGATGAAAATGTAGAACTCCTTTGTGCTGGAATGAAATAGGTGAAAAACAGTTAG